TTACTTACATAGGTTCCGTTCTATCGCACTTCTCCAAAGATTTGCCTGTATCATTGGCAACTTTTGCTGTTGTGATGTCATCAGAAGAAGATATATCCATTTCACTGAGGGAGAGATTGTCAGTTCTTGTGGTAAGATCAGAGACCTTCATTCTGTAATAAAACCGTCACAAGTTAATATACACACACTATATGTTTCACAAATACATAAGGTGTAAGTATTTTCCACTAAAACCCCGAACCTTTGAGATAGGCCTAATGCATACAGAGCCAAATATTGAATAAAATCATTTTGTCAGGTAATGAATTATTTAATGATTTCAAAATGCATTATAATGATAAGTTGAATGGATCGAAATGACACAGCAGTTTTGACACACACACGCACGCATTTTATGATAGTGAAGAGTTCAAAGTCTTCTTTCACTATCGTAATATGAGCCATGATCTATGACATCTCCCTATTTTATTACACATGCCATAAAAGCAAATATACTATATGCATATACATGTACTAATGTATCAAGTTATGCCCAATTCACTTGCCATTTTGATTTTAAAAACGTAAGTACACGCGATGAATGGCGACCGTAACGGAAATTTTCAAAAGAGGCGCTAAGTGTGAAACGGAAATCTCCAGTCGATAAAAGTCAGACAGCTTTTCAACAAATAAAACTACCAAATACAACTTGCCGTATATATTATTCGTTATAAATTCAATTAAAATAAATCCTTAAAAATAAGTTAACCGCTCTTCTAAAAGAGAACTGTCAATACCTAAGCGTACCTTGGTCTGGGGCGAATTTCTTCCCATTTACTGTTAAAAGGCGGCAACCGTTGAGCTTAACGACGCGATGACGACGGGGAACCCCCGACGCGGTCTGTTGATGCAATTTCCGGTTCCGCTTAGGGCCTTATAATAAAATACTCTGTTTTCCATGCCATTTGTAAGAAACACAAATGGAAAGTTCATTATTATAATTGATCGATGCCTGTCCCGCACACACAGGTGTATCTGTATAGGATAAGAGACCAGCAAACAAACTGAGTGCAGATTTAGCTAACGTTAAAACTAATCTCTTCTGTGTGTGCATGTGCGTGCGTGCGCGTGCGCCTCTTTGTGGCCGTGTGTGTGGTTAATGATATGCACCCAATGCCTCTGATGGTTATTTATAAGGCATTTATTGTTGGGTTTGAAAGAAGCTAGAAATCCACCTTAACTTCCCCCAAAGCTTCTAATTACTAGTTAAGTTTTTGGTTCATTTGTTGGTGCTTGTTCTAATTTTATTGATTTTTATTGACATTTAATAGGTCTATCCCGCTTAACTCAAGATCGTAAATTTTTTCCTGACTATTCCAATCTACAAAATGTTTTATGTTACAGTTGCATAATGTCGTAGTTTTTTTTTTTTTTTTTTGCTTTACTGTTAATGTGTGCATTAATTAAGGGTGGTAAGCAATTTTAGGCCGACCTCTTCTTTTTTCCAAAACATCGAAAATACAGACAGTAGGTGAAATAAGTACGTTCTGACTTAATTGTAAGCCTACAGAGTGAAGATTCATTTACTGTGCCTAGACACCCAGAAGTTCTTTTGTAACAAGACTTGCTGTCGACAAGTTGATACCGTCTGGAGACATACAGTTTGTCCCTCTAAACGAAAACAATGGGAGCGTAGTCTCACAGTACATCACGACACACTCAGTTCAGCACATCTAACACATCCCAGTACAGATTCTATGGTGCATTCTTTTTTTATACATTTCTATTTTATAATTTCACAGTGGAAATTTTATCGTTCATTTCGTCACATGTAACTTTTTTTGTGTGTGCAGCAAGGAGGAAAGATTATATTAGCAACAGGTACATTAGCATCTTTATTAATCACCATTATTGACGAAGGGCTAATTTCATAAGTAATTACAGTAATATTAGCCTAATTATAACAATGATCCTGAACAATGATCATAGATAAGAAGATAAGATAAGAAGATTAGAACAAGACTACATTTCCATATATTTACATGCTCTGAGGAATATTCAATTATTAAGCCCTTTCTTGTTTTTAAACGAGGTATGGGTTTTTTTTTTTGTGTGTGTGTGTGTGTGTGTGTGTGTGTGTGTGTTTGTGATAGGAATCTCTTTTTCCTGTTTAAAAGGTCTATTTCCATTAAGGAAAAGCAATACTATACACTGCTCCGATTCCTCTCCAGCTTTCAGTCTACTGCAAAAAAGTCCCTTTTATAACCCTGGTGTATAAGTGACAAGAAATATCTTTGACATTTCGTTCTGGTTATCATTACGAAACCGAATACATGATGAAATTTTAATTTTAACGTAGATTCAACCGTTGCTTTTATTACTCATATGTGAGAGTATTTAGAGAGTGTTTACAATTTGCTGATGACAAAATGACTCATTCAGGGAGCATTGCATTTTCTTCGCTGTTTTCACTGTTGGCAGCAGGGCCGTAGCCTCCGGGGGGGGGAGGGCAGGGGGGGGGCAGCTGCCCCCCCTGGGATTTGTGGTGCAAAAAAATCGCAATTTCTGACTTCTAATTGAGCAATAAATAACAGTTAAAATGCACCAGAATGCAGTATTATACATAGTTTTTTAAAAATTTCCACACCGTGGGAGGGGGACCTCCCACACTCTCCCCCTTCGGGGGCTTCGTCCCGTCGTGTCTGCTTACTGCCCCCCGGCATTTTGCTCAGGCTACGGCCCTGGGCAGTATGCTTGTCCTGTTTCATTTTGGGCGGGTTGTATAAGGACAATTAAAGGTTCCATTAGCTGGGAACGGTTTTCCATCTGAATGCATGTCGGATACATGTAGTCTAGGTATGCATGCACATGCATGGCCGTACGTTGATTTAGTTTGAAGTGCAACAGCCGATGTGCTAATTAAATATATATATTACATGTGGTTTATGACATCTCTTTCTCCTAGTCTATCCACGAACAAATAAATCAATAAATTTTGTTTCCTTGCTCTAAATGAGTCTCTTAAAATACTGTATAACGGTACATTGACGACAATCTCATCTGCCTTATCCATAAAAATACAGTTTGACAAGCTAAATGAGGCAATACCAAACACTTTGATATTACTGTAGGTCATACTCTAGGCCTACATGTAAATATGTCTTCGTCTCATATTTTATACTTGTGCTCAGTTATCCCCCCCCCCATATGTTAAAAATTGTTGTTAAGAATTAAAAGTGTTTTGTTGATTTCTTTGCTCGCTAAAAATTCAAAAATAGGTTTAAAATAATCTCAATTCCTGGAACTGGTCCATTGTGATGTTCCTAGTGGAATTTAATATCGAATACATGCACGTGCATTTTGCACATAGGTGATGCTTAGGTTTTTTAGGGTTGAAAAAATAATATGAAAAATATGAAAAAATATAATAAGATTTTTTAAATGTTTCTGTTTAAATCTTTTTATGGAGAAAATAGAAAAAGAAAAATATAACGGGGGGAGGGGGCAAAATGAAGCGATATTTGGATATTTTTATTTGCAAACTGGAAACATCTTTTCGCCTCCTTTTTGAAATCGAAACACAAAAGATTGATTTCTGTATTCTTTGTTCTCTGAATTAAAAGAACGAGAAAAAACATGTTTAGTGATATTTAATTACTATATTCATCTCTTACCTTATAATAGATACATTATTTACATAGGCTCTATCTTACAATAACTAGTCTCTTTAAGCTAAAAAAAGGGTTCAGTTAATATAGAAAAAGACAAAGGATGCTCAAATTTACCATCTGTACAAGTTATAAGCAAAAGATTTATATAGATGTCCTATTATTTTGATGCTGCATCGAATAAATACGCACTTGATAAGAATGCTTTGTCAAGTGCACAAATGAGATTCTCGGCGTTCCTCTTTGACCCTTGGCATTGTATTGAAAGCTACTTTTCTCAGAATACATCCAAAGTGTAGAGAAGAAACGACCTGTCTGCTCCATAAATTCTCCACCTTACTGGCCATTTGGACCACCACTTTCCGAAAACCTGCTGGTCCAAAAGTTAAAATTCAGGGGTTCAATCAGACCGGACGTTTACCCCTATTGCAATAATACTAGTAATAATAAGACTGATTTTGCCAAATCTTTTTTTCATTTAGAACTAGAATCAACATTAAGAAGTCTACATTTTACAAAAAATGCAATCAAAAATGTCATCTGAAAGCTGTAGGTGTAGTAGAACTTTATTTCTCTCTCAGAGATTTCATAATCATTATAGTAACACCCGGAAAATCTTCTGTAAGTTAATAATTATACTGGCAGAATAATTGTACTGCTTGAAAAATATTTTCAGAATAAACAATTTTACTACGTTGAATAATTGTACCCCAAGGAAATCTTAATTTCAATTCAATTACTGATAAAAAAGAAAGAAAACATAAGTATACGGTCGACTGATGATGAAAATAAATAAGGTATTTTAACAAATAATAAAAAAAAAATTTAAGTAATATATTTATTAAATTCTTCAATGGCCAAAAACAGAATACTGGTAGTTAGAAATAAAAAAAAATCATGTATACAGCATTGAATAAAACTTATTGTCATGGTGAAGACAAAACAAAGCCAAAAATATTCTATATATGCTTGTCTTATTGCAAATCACTATTTCGGACATGTTTCTTTGAAAGGTCTTAGACTGTAAGCAGTGGCGGATTTAGAGGGGGGTCAGGGGGGGTTTGCTTACCCCCCCCCCCCTTCGATTTCTGAAAAATATATCACGCCATATTCCCCTCTTGAAATCAGGATTTTCACTATAGATGAATCACAGTTCTAAACCGTATCAAAGATCATCGTTTGCCCTCCAGAACACCACAAAATTTTCGGGACCCTTGAGCAGGACCCGAACCCCACACCAACTGGGCGATGGTCGGCTTCGCAACCTAGGCTTTCTCTTCTGGATCCCCCCCCCTACCCCTTCAAATAATTCTCGATCCGCCCCTGTGTAAGTGTTCAAAAACTAAAAAAAAATTCCTTTTAAGATGGATTTAATAAAAACGAACAATGCTCTTTCCAAAGCGGACTGGAATAATAAACTCACATAAAATTAAAGTAAACCCTCATCATACCGGCATATAGGGTCGTTTACCACCCCATGACTTTATAAATCAAATTCCGATACTTTTGGTAATAACATAAGTGAAGCTTCAATGTAAATCAATAAAAATTACAATATACATTGCTGGAGAGCTTCAATACTATTCTATACTGATCCAGGTAATTTTAGAACGTAAATTGGCTAAAGAGGGTAATATATACTTTTTTCAATTAATTATTTTCTTTCTTTCCAGTCCTAGTTCTGATAACATATCTTAACAAAGGTAGCATTCTGTATCATATCAAACACTCTTAATGGATAGAAACAAAAACAATGCTAGATGAAATAAAATAAATAAATACATGAAGAATATAAATCCAAAAGAGGACAGCAGATACCATATGGAGACAGTCACAGTGACGTTCGTATGTCTAGCAATCTGTGTAATATACTAGTTCGCGCCCCCAATATGTATACTCTTTTCGCGTTGTTGTTTTTTTTTTTGTGTACATGTGTTATAGATTGATATATTTGTAAATTACTTCCAAATAATTGGGTCAACAAACTGAGTCAGTTTTAAAAACTTAATATTGTAACAATTTGCGAAAAAATGAAATAACATAAATTAATAGACAAAAGGCATCATAAATTGTTCACTAAACTGGGGTTAGTCCCGAACATTAAGCGTCATCACGTTCTCTATAGCTAAAATACACAAATCTGCAATCAACTTTTTTCTAAGAAATATGTTCACTTTGAACTAAAAGCCCTGAACTCATGGCCATGACAGGCGTGTTCCTGACTGGTCAAGTAAATCACCAATGCCTCCCTCAAATTAAAAATTAAAATGGAAATTAAGTTACGGTATTTTGGGTTCAACGCAGAATATGAAAAACTTGTGAAGTTGATTAACTGATCATTTTTTAAAACTGCAATCATTTCTAAATCAAAAATAAATCTGCGTGTACTAATCATTTTGACTGCAGGTTTCATGCACCGTTTACATAGGGATGACATTATTTTCTTGACCTATCATATTCATCAGACCAAATCCAGCAAAATCTGAAGCACGTACATATAGTTAATTGTTGTTTTTATTTTGCTAAGTTCTTATGAGATGCGTTTTGTTTCGTCCAAAAGAGATCTAATTGCTTTGATATGACAGTGTGCTTCGTCCTGTCCATGTAACTTGATCTCTTCATCTAATGCATAGTTTAGATATTTGCTGGCAGCTTCCGTGTCACGTTTCTTTAAATATGTACGCCCTAAAAGTCGCAAAGAAAGCGGCAGTTTCTCTCTGGGGTATTCATCACAGTTGTTTTTGTCACGGAGTATTCTGAGATATATGACAGATGTACTGTACAATTCTACTGCATCATCGAGCTTTCCCGACTGTTCGTGTGCGAAGGCGCTGCTGATATAGCACTGTGCTAGTTTTAAATTAACGCAGCCAGGACCAAACAACTTGTGCTGATATGATAAAGCTTCGTTACAGTAGTTGATAGATGTTTGGTAGTCTTTAAGATTCCTGTAAGCTTTCCACAGACACCTAAACATTTCAAAGACCATACTCTCTGGGATACTATTGTTTGTGTTCTCCTTCACAATGCGCTCTGCACCTTTCAAAGTATTGATCACGTCTTGCCAACTTGATTTTTGGCCATAATTCTCTCCTAACTTAAGTAGGCGACGAAACTCTTTCACCCCATTACGAGCCAACGTAGGAACGGTTTGGATGTCGCCCATCTGCATTTTTGGCAAATCTTTAACAGCTGAATCACTCATTTGTTGTTGCTTAATTTCAGCCTTCTCATTCAGACAATGGTCCAACTTGGTCTTCATTTCTTTTACTTTTGCATCTCTCCTGCGCCAAAAATAGTACCGACCAGGGCTTACCGCTCTTTGTCGTTTCTGTGCTAACCCAAGTCGGCAGTGAAACTCTTGAACATCTTTCAGAGACAATGTAGGATCAGTTTGGATGTCGCCAATCTGCTTTTCCGGTAAATCTTCAACGGTGGTCGTAAGAGCTGAATCACTCATTTGTTGTTGCTTATTTTCATCCTCATTCAGACAATGATCCAACTTGGTCTTCATTTCTTTTAGCTCGGCATCTCTTCTATCTAGTCTCTGCTGAAGATCGTGACACCGTAGTTTCATGGCAGCCATTGCAGATTCATGCTGGCTCACCTTATCTTCGCACTGCTTGATGTGCATTTGCTGCTGAATCAAGGCGTCATCTTTTATTTTGATTAATTTCTGAGCATCCTCCAACTCAATCTGAGCATCCTTCAACTTGATCTGAGCATCCTCCAACTTGGTCTTCAGTTCTGCGTTAGCAGTCTCAAGATCAATGTACGTTGGACGGGAGTTTCCCTCTGGAACTGAAAATATAAGCAATGTTGCATAGAAAAATGCGCCGTTTTGATTTCTTAAATACACCTGAGCATTTTGCCAGGATTTTCAAAAATCTTTTCAAGAAATAGCCAGTGTCGTGTGTATTGTTCTAGTCTTTTTCACAATTACAGTAGGTAAAGCTTGCCCCCTTATCTGGGTAAATTTGTACCTCCAAGGTCCTTCTCCCTCTCTTAAAATATGATCACAAGCGAAACATAACAAAATAAAACACATTTACAGCATTATTTGTCCTCGTCTACAGTTCCAAATTCCTGTGTGAAGAAAGACATTGTTTCCTTGGACCCCAACTTTATACCGCAGAATTCTTGTTTCAGTTATGACATGTATGTTTGGCATCAATAACGTGACCAAAACAATGCATCAGTGCTCAAATGTTATTTATATTTTCATTTACTTATTCTGGTTTAACTTCTGCTTTTTACTATTGTTAAGTAGCTAGAAAATAAAAAAGCTCTAAAAATATACCGATAATCTGTACTTAATGCAATACTCACATCCAAGCGAAGAAAACAACTTCTCAAAATCGATGTCCTCGCGTCTGATATGAGTTAAGCGCCGTATATTCAATGGCAAATCTTCAACAGACGCGTCCATCAGGATAGGGACGACAATGTCTTCACTCGTCTCGGCAGCTTTATGCAACGCCAATTCTCTTTCATGCTTGCACCAAGGACTTGTAAGAAAATCTTTTGAAAGAAAGCAGATAACAAACTTGCTCCTGTCCAGAGCTTCATTGATACAAGACACCGTTGAAGTACCTAGGCGGAAATCTCTTTTTGAGTAGCAGCAACTGATTCCTCTTTTCTCCAATGTGTCCATGATACTTTCCACAAACTTAGCATCAGTATTACTATGAGCCAAAAATGCATGATATTTTTCTCGAAGAAGCACACACCTAGAAAGACGAACGCAACTCCTTAATCGTAACACCGGCAGTGCAACGTTATACACCCAGACCCAATATAGAGGTGCATTTCACATGCTGAAGTGTCCAAAAATAAAATTGAATGAATTCAAGGTTGTATTCAATTTTTAAAACATACACATGTATAGAACAAAAGTCCACAACTGTCTCAATTTTAATTCAAATTTTAATTTTTACCATTTCTTAAAATTACGCAAAGAGCTTTTAATGGTAACGTATCTTCCGGAAATGTATGGTAGCGTACATGTATGTTCCGGGTCATTTAATTTAAATTCTTTTACCGCGTTCCGATATATTTTGTAGTGTTTCAGTCATGGTAAATTATACATGACGTAAAGATGTTTATATAAATATTAAAATTGATATTATATAGCTCAAGGGGCTTTGCGTCATGGCTAATACTACGTTACGTATGTTCCCTAGAAAAATTGTCAAAAAGTTTCATTTTGTTTAATATAAGTACTTGGTGCAATAGAAAGCATTGTGATTCCATGATTGTTTGACATTTCTGATATATTTGGATCATGCGGGGAAAAATTTTATTTAATGCTTATTTTACTGTTCGTAGGGTGTATTTTTCCGTTTTTTAATATTCAGTGACAAGCAAACTACAGTCGCTCAAACACAATTAACTACTCTATACAGAAGGTTATTATACATGTAGTTTTTTTACAACGTTATACTTGTAGAAATGATTCAAAGAACAAAACCAGTGATAATAGCATTTTCATAGTGAGTAAAACGTTTCAAAGCTGGACGTTTTGCATTTGTGCGAGTAACGTATATTCCTTTTGGGGGATAGACGATGAATTATTTTTTATTGTTCCTGGTTCCAGGAGAATGAAAATTTGACACAGTTCTGTTCATGTGGGGCCCTAAAAAAAATACTTTGCAATCTATTCACTAAATTCTTTTAAGAGCATGCCTGTGACATCAATTGCACCTGTATATTGGGTTTGTGTGTATAATTTGAAAAAAATATGATAATAATGAAAATGACTGAAAACTAGAGGATCAGAGAGGCGATACCGCCTCTGGATATTGTACCACCAGCTGGAGTAAGCGCATTTGTATGGACCCCCCCCCCAAAAAAAAAAAAAAAAAAAAAAAGGGACACCACCACCAGTCTTGAGCTTGACAAGCTGTATAAAATGCAATCAACAAAAATTCTCAAAATATGCCAAAAAATATAACTAAAAATGGTACAATCAAAGTTCAGTTCATCGTAAAAAGTAGGTCAAATGTCAATTTTAAGGTCACAGTAAATTACCAGTATATGACTTTCTATTCAAGTTCAATAGTGACTATGGGCGTATCTTTGTCAGTTTTGAAAGAATAAGCATTAAAAAAGTTGCAAAGTTCAGCTCATAGTGTAAAGTAGGTCAAAGGTCAATTTCAAGGCCACAGTAAGATTACTAGTATAATACTTCCTATTCAAGTTCAATAGTAACTATGGACCTATCTCTGCCAGTTTTGGAGATAAAAGGGAAGCAAAATTTGCAAAGTTCAGTTCATGGTGAAAAGTAGGTCAAAGGTCAATTTTAAGGTCACATTTAGATTGCCAGTATATGACTTCCTATTCAAGTTCAATAGTAACTATGGACCTATCTCTGCCAGTTTTGGAGATAAAAGGGAACCAAAATTTGCAAAGTTCAGTTCATGGTGAAAAGAAGGTCAAAGGCCAATTTCAAGGTCACAGTTAAATTGCCAGTATATGACTTCCTATTCAAGTTCAATAGTAACTATGGACCTATCTCTGCCAGTTTTGGAGATAAAACGGAACGAAGACTTGCAAAGTTCAGTTCATGGTGAAAAGTAGGTCAAAGGTCAATTTCAAGGTCACAGTTAAATTGCCAGTATGTGACTTCCTATTCAAGTTCAATAGTAACTATGGACTTATCTCTGCCAGTTTTGGAGAAAAAAGGGACTAAATATCATAATTTTGGAGTTACAATAATGTGCCATAAATTTTCTACAGAAAAAAATAATTGAAATAAAGAAAATGTCATTTTGGTTGAAATTCTTGAAATGGGAGGTGCTCAGAAGTTCCAGATGTTCAAATTTCATGAAATAATGTCATTTTTGACCAGAAGTTGTGTGCCTCGCAAAGCCTTATGTTTTATTTTCCCGGGGTTCAAAATTTATTATCCATTACCGTACTGCACATTTTGCTTTCACCACCACAATGTACTTTTTGATACAGCATAACTCGAAAACCGTATGAAATACAAAAAAACGGAGACCTCCAACAGTGTTGAGCTTTACATGCTCTACAAAATGCAAAAAAGAATGGGTCTCTAGCATTAACGGTTCCCGAATTAGAGACAGTTTTCAGTTTCGGTATCTTTTGGCCGCTTCTCCCGTGAAAATGCACCGATTGACCCCAAACTCACGGTGATGAAAGATGACTTGAAGGGTGACTCTTTCCATTAATATTATAGGTTAGGTTTGTGCAGTGTCTGAATACCAGCGCAAATAATTTTTTTTTTCGTAAAAAATTTCATTTTTTTGAAAATTTTGGCCCGTTTGACCTTGAAATAAAGGTCAAAGGTCAAATCCAAGGGCATATTTGAAATCTCCACATATGACTTTCGGTCAGCTGTCTGTAGAAATTTATCCCATAATTCTTTCGGTATGGTAGATAATTAGCATTTAATTTTGCCAATTTTGGACAAGGGTGCATTGCAATGAGCGCCACACCTAGACCCCTGAACCGATGAAGCCCAAATTTTACGTGGAGCGAGTTGAGATTATAGGTGACCTAAATCCAAGCAATGGGTACGCAGGCCCTTGTAGTCTAGGAGGAGAAGCGGTTACGGTAACATGGCAGAGCCGGCGGAACGGACCGGACGGGACTAAAACCATGTGTACCGCAAGCGCCAACGCTGGTGGTACAATGATAATAAATTTACTAATAAATTGATTTATATATTTCCCTATTTGTTCACATACACGTATACAACCTCAATAAGAAAAAGGAAATAAACAAAAGAAAAATGACACATTTATACATGGACAATGTCGTGACAAAGATCTAGTGAATAGACCAAATGTTTGACTGATTTTCAATAAGATTATACAGCATAAATGTGATTCAGCTTTCATGAATTATATTATTTTCTCTGGTTATGTACTCATTAAAAAGCACAGTAATACCATTCAATCACAGAATGTGCTAAATGTGAATTTTACTTAATACCTAATTTTTAAAATATCTTAATCACACACATGGGAAAGAATATACATAGACAATGGTCGCTAAATTTAAAAAAATCAGTAGTTTACTTACATAGGTTCCGTTGCATTGCCGTCCTCTAAAGATCCATTAGTATCATTGTCAACTTTTGGTGTTGTGTTGTCATCAGATAAAGATATGTCCATCTCACTCAGGGAGAGATTGTCAGTTCCCGTAGAAAGATCAGAGACCTCCATTCTGTAATTGAATATAATCGAATTATGTAACCCACTATGTGTTTCAGATATTAATAAAATAAAAAGGTATATCTGTTCCTATTTCTTTTCTTTCTTTCTTTAAAATATATTTTCCCTAAAACCCCAAATCATTGAAAATGATTTAGACCTATATGTAGGAACCAAGCTGGGGTAGCGCTATAACACTCGCCAATTTAGCCAAATGCTTAAACTGACATTTTAACAATTTAACAATTCTGACAATTTAAAAATTGGCTAAACAAAATACAGTTGATTTGACTTGTTTTAGTCAAATTTAAGCCATTTGAAGAAAAAAAGTGATGAAAAAGTAGCACTTTGGCTAAACTAAAAAAAAAAAAAATTGCTAGCGCCACCCCAGCCAAGATATCATCTAGCCTAGGCTAGACATAAATTGAGCAAAGCACTATTTTGTCAGGGAATAAATTATGCTTCAATTTGACTTCAAAATGCAAGACGATGATTAGTCGAAGAGATTGAAAATACCCTGGAAGCTTACTATATAGACACACATACCCCCCATGCACACACACTTACAAACACACAATATTAAATACTACATGATAAACCACGCTTGATCAGATTTAGACAGTTTCACTTATTTTTCACCCGCCTATACATCTGAAGTACATGACTTTACAAGGCGAATATAAACCACTAACAAAACCTGAATGGCGGGTAAATAGGGCCTAAACCAACTCAACAAAATCCGTTATTCGCTGCATGTTCCCATTTTAACAACAGGCCTGTACAGAGGCAGACTAATTTTTGACACACATGCAATCCTTTCATAGATTTTTCACATGGGTAAACAAGAAAACAAACCAATATTCGCCCAATCTGCAAGTATGTTAAGTGAGATAAAACAATACAATTTATTCCGAAGTAAACGCAATTGGAATATGCACATGTCATATAATGACCAATACACTATACTGATATGTCAAATCACGCCCTGTTCACTTGCCATTTTATTCTTTAAAAACCTAAGTCCACGAGAGAAATTGCGTCAGTAAAGAGGTGTGTAAGAAAGGGGAATCCCCAAACGATACAAATGAGGACAACTTTTCAACAAATAAAACCACCAAATATAGCTTGCCTCATATTCAATCTGTTATAATTTCCATTTAAATATAGTCTTAAAATCTAAGTAAACCAAACTACTTACATGGAACTGGCAGTACACAAGCTTTCCTTGGTATGAGGCTTATTTTTTCCCAGACGCGGGGCTAGCAACCCGCAGTGTCGAGCTTAACGACGCAGTGACGATGGGGAACCCCCGACGCGTTCTGGTGACGCAATTTCCGGTTCCGCTGTGGGCCTTATAATACAATACTCCGTTTTTTAAAAATGCTATTTATAAGAAAGACAGAAATGGCGTGTCTGTATAGGATACGAGCTGACGTTCAAACTAAACTCTTCTTATATAATACTGGGTAGGGTAAGTGTGTCTGCATGTGTGTGTGTGTGTGTGTGTGTGTAGGCCCTATGTGTGTGTGCGTGCGTGCGAGCATGCACGCGCGCCTGTGTGTAGCCTTGTGTGTGGTAAATATAATGCACCCCTAGCCTCTGATGGTTGTTTATTAGGCATTTATTCTTGGGTTTGAAAGATGCTAGAAACCCACCCTTGACTTCCCCCACAGCTTTTAATTCCTAGTTAAGTTTTTGGTTCATTTGTTGGTGCTTGTTCTAATTCTATTGATTTTATTGAGATTTAATGGGTCTATCCCGCTTAACTCAAGATCGTAAAACTTTTCTTCTGACTATCCCAATCTACAAAATGTTTTATGTTACATAATGTCTGTTGGTTTTCTGCTTTACTGTTTATGTGTGCATTAATTAAGGGTGATTAGCAATTTTAGGTCCTTTTTTCCTTTCTTTTTATTTATTTATTTATTTATTTATTTTATTTTATTTTATTTTATTTTATTTTTTTGCTAAACAACGAAAATACAGACAGTAGATGAAATAACCACGTTCTGACTTAATTGTAAGCCTAAGAGTGAAGATATATTTACTGTGCCTAGACACTCAGAAAGGTCACTTGTAACAAGACTTGCTGTCGACATTTTGAAACCGTCTGGAGACAGTTTGTCTCTGTAAACGAAAACAATGGGAGCGTAGTCTCACAGCACATCACGACACACTCAGTTCAGCACATCTAACACATCACAGTGCACATTCTTTGACACTTACTTTTTATACATTTCTATTTTATAAGTTCACAGTGGAATTTTTATCGTTCATTTTGTCACATTAATTAATTAATTAATTAATTAATTTATTTATTTATTTATTTATTTATTTATTTATTTTTTGCCTGTGCATTAAGGAGGAAAAAATGATATTAGCAACACTTTGTTTATCAGCATTGTTGATAAAGGGATATGTCATAAGTAATTACAATAATAATAATAATAATAATAATAATAATAATAATAATTAATGGCAGATTAGAACAATACTACATTTCCATATATTTACATGCTCTGAGGAGTATTCAAATTAAGCCCTTCGTTGTTTTAACAAGATATGGCGTTTGCGTGAATTTTGATGACAGGAATCCTCATTTGTAGCACTTATCCTTCCTTTTCCTGTTGAAAATGTCCAATTCTATAAAAAGAAAAAAAAGCAATGCCAAATACTGCTCAAATCCCTCTCCATCGTCCAGTCTTCTGCAGAAAAGTCTCTTTGGATGACCCTGTAGAAACCCCTGTAAAAGTAAAAAAAGTCCCTATTTCATCTGTATAGTCACGAGAAACTTCTTTGACATTTCATTGTGGTTGGCCTTGCGAAACCGAATACCTATGATGTAATTGTAATTTTCGAACACTGATTCAGCTATTGTTTTTATTACTCATTAGAGCTAGAGAGTTTAGATTTTGCTGATGACAAAATGACTTTCCAGGAGGAAATTACATTTTTCTTCGCTGTTTTTACTGTTGGCAGTGTGCTTGTTCGAATTCATTTTTTGTGGGTTGTATATGTATGATTTAAGGACTTATTAGCTCGGAACGGTTTTCCATCTAAATGCATACATGTTCCACATACATGCAATTTAGGTATGCATGCACATGTATAAACGTATATTGATTCATTTTTAAGTGCAACAGCCAATTTGCTAATGCATGTGGTTAATGGCATCTTTTTCTTCTAGCCTATCTTCGAACAAACAAAACAATGAAGTTGTTTCATTGCTCCAAATGAGCCTCTTAGAATACTGTATAACGGTATATCTGCCCTATCCATAAAAATACAGTTTGACAAGCTGAATGAGTAAATATCACAATTTTATATACCTGTAGGGCCTTCTCTACATGTAAATATGTCTCCGACTCACACTTTATGTTAATTTTTTTTATTTTTCCCCATCATAAGTATTTACAGAAGTTAAAGACTAAAAAAATTGTTGATACCTTCGTTTGTTGAAAATTCAAAGATGAATTTTGAATATAAGCACTTCTTGGCTTCGCTCTATTCCGATATTCCTAGTGGAGTTTAACGGCCATCTCGAATGTAATGTACGTGTCTTTTGCACATGGTGACTCTAAGAAGATTTTTTAGTGTTGGAAAATTTTTTTCAGAATTTTAAGAGAGGGGTTAAAAAAAGAGGAATATAAAAGAAAATAGCTGGTGTGGGATATTCTGACTTACGAACTAGAAACATGTTTTAACTCCTTTTTGAAATCAAAACAGGTAGGATTGAAATTTGGATTCATTGTTCATTGAAGTAAAAAAAAAAGGACAGATATTTAGTAATATTTATTATCCTAAACTCTTACCATACATTAAATACATTATTTACATATCTTACAATAACTGGCCTCTTTAGACAAAAAAAAAAATAATAATAATAAATAAATAAATAAATAAATAAATAAATAAATAAATAAATAAATAAAATAGCATAGATGACATAAAAAAAAGACAATGGATACACACATTACTAGCCGTGCAAGTTATGAACAAAAAACAAAATACCAACCCACTTTTTAGTTGGAAATCAACTACGTTTGATAAAAAATTACTTCACATCTCCACCTTTTTCGAGAAATGGAAAACTAACAATAAATAAATTCCCGAGACATCTGGTGAAAACACGACAGGCAATTCACAGTCTTGCTCACAGACTAAACGGAGACAACAATATGTTTCACAAATCCAGACTTCACCATCACGTCCATTATAACGTCACTGTCATAGCAAGTGCGTCAACGACGTCATAGCCTGACAGTTTGTCAACAAATGCATCAAGATGAATGTCACGATTGGATAGAGACCGATACTGTATATTGGGGACCCGATGTTCATTGAACTGCTGTTCGACAGAGGAGTTTCAGGACACAGTTCGTCTTTTACATACATGGATATATTTCCTATGGCCGCTGATTTCACTGTTCTCCAATCCCGATCCGTTCCGTTCGTTTCCAATATCATGGCACTATAGTAAAAAAGTAAAAAAACATAGGGTAAAATACTTTTGTATTGATTAACTGAGAATTAAGATGATACTGTATGTTTTAAGAATAATATAATCTTATACATCTGCCTATTATAAACTATAACTGTTTGGCAAATGCTGCATTATTTCACTAGTTTACTCATTAAAATCCATACATTTTTATTATCATTATTTTTGCGGTGATGTTAAGTAGATTTTATTATATCAGACGCCTCAGTTGTTTGGTACAACGAGTACACGTAGAGCTCAAACAAAACTGACATTTACCTGAATTCTATTAACCTGGTAATATTTCTCGGAGCTGTCCAAATAAACGTCTTTTCCTGGGCTCCATTTTTAGTGAGGAAAACCGCGTGAGACTGAAATAAAACATAGATAATTGAACCGACTATATTGGGTTAATGGGCACGAAAAAACGTCTCATGTTTCTAATTTTTTATCTTATAAAAACCCGACTTTCACTTGTAGTTTGGTGGTTAGCGCCAAATTCATAAAATATCATTTTATCAACAAAATGCGAAACGCTGTTATGTAATAAATTACTTCATAACAAACCGAGTGAAATTTCATTTCGTTTTCCATCAAGCGCTACACTTACACAATTATTTCAGAAAGGGCTCATTTAATATGCACATCTGATTATAAAATCCAGTACAACTTTACAATATATTACTACATGTGTACTGAATCGTATCATTGAGATTCCGCTACAGACGACTAAAAACAGGAGAAAGAAGGCAGCTCCCATTACTTACAGCTATCCCCTCACAATTTAACAGTCGTAAGGCATCGTCACCATTAAAAGCGCCGATGGTTGTATGTTCGGAGAAGTCGCAGGTACGTAAATGTGCCTCCATGACAACTGCTGTAAAAGAGGCGCCCCCAGTAGCCTTGACCATAACTAAAGGAAAATGAAATATTGGAACGTTAAATAGTCATTAACTTAACAATTGAATTATTCAATAAAAAATCTAAATTTTACTGGGAAGTTTTCTCGAGCGTCAAGAGATTAACTTAATTTCAAACAAAATATGTAAAAAGTTTATGTACGAAAAAAAAAAAAAAAAAACGAGTAACATGCAAGTCCTTTATTTCGTTAACAGCTTGGTGTATCGTGAGCAAACCAGCACAAATTCATCTTTGTACAGTGGAGCCGAAATAGTCTCATCACCTTTTCAAAATAATGTACGTAAGTAGTCATGTTTTTTCGTGTCCAAATGTGGCGTTTTAATTTTCTGTTGATGAGAGTAGTATGATTTAAAGACCCTGGTGCAAAAAACCAAAATTTTAAAACACGATAAATTGTTACAACCTGAGCACCGAATTGTGCACGTTTCTCTTGGCGACAATATATCCACGAACGATTTAGTGTATGTGCAATTTGAACTTATAAACATGGGTCATTACCGGTTAAGTTTCAAAAGATAGCCAAGATGTATTTTACTGGAACATTTTCTCCAAGATTTTTTTCTATTTTGCCATTAACTTTAGTCAAAGTCGTGCATTCTTTCCATTGTAATACTCATTTTTTTTTAACTGCCTTACATATCGGCATACATGCAGCTCTACTATAAAAATACTTAAAATATAACACAATGTAAATTTTGATTGTCTTTTTTTGGGGCAATTTCTGATCGTTTAAACGTGAAAGACAAAATCGGGGCAATGGTATTTGAACAAAGATAGGAAGAAAAGATAAAAAGATAAACAGAATGATATTTAACAAAAGAAAGAAAGAAAGAAAGAAACGATAAAAAGATAAACAGAAAACAATTACCTTCCAAACTTTCCCCTGGGGTATAATGGGACTGGCTCACGTAAATCCTGAACGGCGTCCCTTCTTGGCGCACTTCAACTTGTTCTCTCAGCTCGCAGGATATGTGAGAAGTAACAGATTGCGGAATACTGTACCCGGTAATACCGGTACAGAGAAAAGTAATCATAAAACAAGTATAGCCCCTAATATGCATTCCGAGTCTACAGTCACCACGTCTCTTTTTACTTTGATTCTAAAACACAATTCACAGTTCGTTTATACGGCGCTTTATGCCTCATCACTTTCCTGTTATGATTTGGAAACTTTTTCCTGATTCACTTTTAGTTATTGTTTCAACATGATCACGGGGTTTAGCCTACACCCTGTCTTAATCATCACTTGGCAACAGGACAGACGCACAGCGCACTTGGTGGCGTGATCTCAGCCCATTGCGCTACTCACGGTGCATTGACGGTCATCTGCTGTCAACATGAGGAGGGAAATTGGGGGATACAGATTAATTATAGCATTGGTTATTGCTAAAGACCCCTCTGTTAATCACTATTTACAAGCGCACTTCACAGATACGTATTACGGCCACTTTGTATTTATTTTATTTTGAAATTTCGACTTAATAAATGCATATTTTAAGATAACTAATTCGAACTTTTGAGTTATTGACCCGAAATTTACGAGTGACTAATTGGCGATTTCGAGTAAGTAAAGCGTATTTCTGCCACTTTGTTTTAATTCTCTCTTTGAAAGTTCGAATTTATTACTCGAAATTTCACATTTGCCCATGGCACTCCTCCTTCTTGATTCTAGCTGGTCTGTCTTTAGTTTGGCAATTGACGTAAAAGTCTGACCATAGTGCTCCACCTCGTTCGTCAGTGTTGATCCAGAGTTCTCCTAATTATTTATTTCTTTGACACTAATATAATGATAATAATAACGATAAAAAATAACAGTTTATTGGGCATTAAATATGTTTACATTCATATATCGTCTAACTGCAATGTTGATTACACGAGGCTTGTTTTTACTTCGTAAATTGAACGTATAAAATTGTGTGGCAGTCCTACATGTAACGAGGTTTTAGATGCTGAATTCAATAGGAGGGACAATTTTCGAGTGTTGCGACGTAAAAGATAAAATGTTGGTCACAGATGAATTGAATACATAAAGTGATCAATGAATTTGACTCATGATCAATAAAACGTATCGATAAGAAAGACATTAAAAAGTTTTTTAAATATACAACCTTCAGTCCTTCAGTGATGAAACCGAAACCGAGAAAGTCATTGAAACGTTCTCTGAGTCAAAACGTGACACCGCTTACGTCAGCCAAATTGTCACCAACACCATACGCCTTGTCCTACGACCTCCAGAAACCACCGCAGACGACCACAGAGGTCCCACAGTACATTCTTCCCTTGCAATTTTAGAGTACAAGCTAAGATCCGCCATGAGCTTGCGTGGGGACTTTTAGTTTGTCTAAATATAACTGGGTTTATGTCATATGTTCTAATATGAATTACGTAAGGTAGCATCTACTGGAGTAGGCATATGTTTTTTAATCATCGCATGATAGACCCAATGTCACTATTAGTCACTATGCCTAAAATACACAATTTAATGTAAAAATAGCTATTAAAAAATCACGCCAAAATTTGTAAGGAAAGACATCCTTCAAAATCACGTAAATTACCGACCACACACACACACACACACACACACACAGTCAAGGTTTGTCATCCAACTTATACACTATAGCCTATCTATTATTCACTGAATTCTATCTACAGAGAAGGGCCTTCGTCAGAATTCCAAAACTCAGGTCACAGTTCTAGTCAAACATCCATGTAAACTTATTAAAAATGACTAGTACATGTACCCCTCCAAAAAATAAATAAATAAATAAAAAGTCACCACCTGAATTCCCTCTTCATGCTAGTTTATAAACCATGTGTCCTCCACAGATCGTTAATCCGTATGTCTCTCAACCATGACTTTAGTATCACGTTTTATATCTTATTTGATAATTGAACCATGACATATACCTATTTCTATACTTTGCAGGGTAGGTAGGGGAGGGTTCAGGGGAGTTGAAAGAACAGCGCTTTTTGCCGGAAATGTCCTCTCTGATTCAAAATTCGATCTACACTGTAGGTTCTATGCCATTTCTCAAGTTGGGTCAATGATAAAACATCTTTTTCACAGAAAAATTGAAACTGCTGGCTGTAAAACCTAGTATTAGTACGCATCTTTTGTGCATACGCCAATATTATACATAGAGACGTGTGTTTTTATACGGCTTCTTGATCAGCATTGCCTCATTGCAAATGCATCAGCCATAACGGACAACATATTGAGCGTGAAATGATCACCAAAACGGCATCAAAGGTATATAAATATAGCAAATTGAGATGTTGCCTAGATGTCGCATTAATACAGTTAAAGGACAAGGTGCCTATTTTTAACGATGAGTTTTGCAATATACATATTCCTGGCTGAATCGGGGGGGGGGGGGAATGCTTAATGGAAAGCACCTGGTCTTTTTTCTTGTTTTTTTTTTATAAAACTCTTTCACCTTAAAATCTAGATTGTCTATATATACATGGTACATCTTCGTTCATGTCCACCATATGTAACTCTATACAGTGTATATCCTCCCCTACCAAAAAGTGTCTTCTCTACCGCAACTATGTACATTGCTACAAGGTTACCATAGTATTACACAACAACTAGGCAACCGATTATCACGTAAATTAGAGATCATGTCACCGTGAGTAGTAGAATAATGACCATTGAAATACTCCAACACCAATTAATTTTTAATATGCGGTCTTAAGTGAAAGGGATACGTTTTTTTTTTACTTAGAGGTTGACGTAGGAGTGAGTTTTGACCCGCCGATTTGCCAGAAGGTTGGGCTGTTCTACATGTATGTATAATGAGAACCATTTAAAGCGATAGACAGCATCATAACCACACAGGCACAAGGGCAAAAATACCTGGCCCGTGGGTATAAGGCCGACCAAAGACAACCACGTTCTGAAAAGAGAGAATGTTAAAATAAGTCTTCCTCGTAGAAAAAGCTTCATAACATATTTTGGAACTTGACAACAACATTCCACAAGAACCACCCTGAGCTTCAGAGATAACTTGACACTAACCTCTCAAGTTATCTCTGAAGCTCAGGGTGACAAGAACAGGTCTGGGGCACATCATGTTTCTGAGCTTACCGTTAGAAGACGTCTGCACAACTGCTGTTATTTTGGCATGGTTAGACGCGACAGCTGCTTTCCTCAAATCCAGAAATTCTGTACAAAATACTTGGCTTTGGTTTCCTTTCTAGGGTAAGTTAATTCAGTAATTTTTGTGAAAAACGTCCTGTCAGAAGGTAAATAAAAACATTGGTTCAAGACATGATTTTCTGCATCACTTTACGCATTGCGTTAGGGATGACACATATTTTGCTAGGGGAGTATTTACATGTATATCCTCCATTCACTATCTCCTTATTAGGGAATCCCTAAGATGCTTGTCTTTAATTAAGACTAAAAGTATCTAAAATATTATTTGAAGTGCTAATGTTTGGATCATGTCCAAACCTCAGTTAGCATGTGTTATGCACATGACAGAAAATCACAATTCTGTTGTGAAATTCACCAATCAAATGAAAGCAAACGTTAGGCCTACAATGACCTGATTCATCGTTTCCTAGGTCTAAAACAGTTTGTGCATGCGCACTTGTTGACTCTAAATAAATTAAACTTGCTATCAATAACTCCCTATTATTTTTTATTTTATTCCTCTTTAACTACTATACTTGAAATTAGTGAAGAGGCATATGTATGCTATTATCTTTACAACACTATGCATGGTAATATCATCATGGGACACCGCCTGACTCAACCCCAAAACCGAACCCCTCCTGAACCCCCTGGCTACGTGCCTGCTTATCCACAATACTTTCGATATATTTCTTTTTTTTTTTTTGCCAAGTTTTGGTAGCTACGTCAGCATCAAAACAATAGATACCCTTTGCGTATTTTTATTTTTTATTAACTCTAAATGCCTTTCGAAACATGAGGCTCGTGGCCGGTAGATGTTGTGAAATAAGTTCTAAAACGTCGAGAGGGGTAAAGTTTCAAGTTTCAAGATTTTTTTTTTGCCAAGTTTTGATAGCTACGTCAGCATCAAAACAATAGATACCCTTTGCGTATTTTTTATTTTTTATTAACTCTAAATGCCTTTCGAAACGAGAGGCTAGTGGCCGGTAGATGTTGTGAGAGAAGTTCTAAAACGTCGAGAGGGGTAAAGTATAGTGTATTTTCAAGTTTCAAGTTTTTTTGCCAAGTTTTGGTAGCTACGTCAGCATCAAAACAATAAATACCCTTTGCATATTTTTATTTTTTATTAGCTCTAAATGCCTTTCGAAACGTGAGGCTAGTAGATGTTGTGAAAGAAGTTCTAAAACGTTGAGAGGGGTAAAGTATAGTGTATTTTCAAGTTTCAAGATTTTTTTTTGCCAAGTTTTGATAGCTACGTCAGCATCAAAACAATAGATACCCTTTGCGTATTTTTATTTTTTATTAGCTCTAAATGCCTTTCGAAACGTGAGGCTAGTAGATGTTGTGAAAGAAGTTCTAAAACGTTGAGAGGGGTAATAAGTTTAGTGTATTTTCAAGTTTCAAGAAGAGCCTGAAGTGTGACTTGAGCACTATGCCTATATATAGTTGTATTTAAAAGAAGGAAAAGTTCGTTAGGTTTAGGTTGTATCGTTGCTTGTGGAGAAAAGGGCGACAGTACGAAAAACACATCTCTGGAGAATTAACAGGTACATAGAAAGTTACAGGTTTACGAGTGTCACCTCTACCTGAAGTGGGCAATAAGCTCAATTCCCGATGAAAGCGATCGACACGACGTTCACTGAGTGCGAAAAACTGAATCGTTTTAATCATTGATTCAAACAGGCTGCTATTATGACTAAGTTGTAAAACAGCAGATAGAATTCTTGAAACATTGAAAGACTTTAATTAAAATTAATTAAATTAGGCCTACTTAGGCCTACTTGCCGATTTTATTTTTCAATATTACCAGTAGGCTATATTTTAATGTGTAGTCAAAGTATATTTGATTATAGCAAACTGCTAACAAACTGATGAAAATAAAAAATATAAAAACCGAAACATTACTTTCCAAAGCATTAAAATCCAACGTTTGTAAAAAGAGAATTTTTTTTTTTTTTTTTTTTTTTTTGCGGGGGGGGGGGGGGGGCATGTAGGCTACCCTGTGGGGCATGCGAGGTAATCTCGCTCTCTGGCAGTAGTCGATGTTGACAGGTAAATAATGTAATTATCTTGGAATCCCTGCGTTCACAAAACCAACAAAATTTCCGACATTACTGGTAGTTATTTATTATTTTATTATTATTATTTTTTTTTTTTGCAGATAAAAAGTCTGGGACGAAAGCGAGGCAGAATTTCCCAAACTCCTTTATCCAACAGATGGCGCCAGTATCAACAATGTTGACTTCCGGGTTGTTGTTTTCCGAGAACTAACCTAACCCTCGGACTCGGCGATTGAGAATATTAAAACATGACTTCAGTTATTTAGCGGATAACCAAAGACGATGTCCATCAGGGAAATACTGGAGGACTTTGTCCGCCATACGGATTCTTTGGACGAAAAGGACGACGACGGTCGTGATGGCTTTGAGAGAGATTTTGCTGTGAGTCATATTTTGCTTTTCACTTGTACATTTTACTTTACCCAGTATCTGTGGTCACATTCCTATGGTGGTAATTGAGGAAGTATATCAGCAGATAAAGCAGATTTGTGGAATATGCGGCATTAGATGGGTGATACGAGAGAGAGAGAGAGAGAGAGAGAGAGAGAGAGAGAGAGAGAGTGTGTGGGGGGGGGGGGTGAGGGAGAAAGAAGGCGTCAAACTGTTACTGTTACATGTACATGTATTTTGTAATCAAATCATTCTGTACATACAATAAAATGTACACACACACCGAACATACACTGCATGTTTAGATAAGTCATATCACTACCATTTGACCTCAATTTTTAAAAAAAAGATGTTAGGATATGCAGGGTATATACAGTACGTTTAGGCATGTATAGACATCTTGTGCTACTTTCACTCATCTACTGTATGGAAACATCAGGGGATGCCCTTGCACTTTTACTTTTATCATGTACACAGTGTGCATATCAAAAATTGTCAGTAGTAGTGCTAACACTTGAATTTCATGCTAGGTACTGTATGTGTACTTGCTGCAATGGCAGATTTATTGTTTTTATGCTTGGATTTTGACCTTATTAAATAGAGTAGAGAATTATAGATACTATATTTTATTTTATTTCAATGTGTTTTCCTTTCTTTGGTGGATTAAATGCCACCTTAGTCAATAAAATTTATATTTATCTTTTGGTCACCTTATTCAGTCTATAGGACAACTGGTGTTGTAGGAGAGAGATGATTAATGTCACACTCTGAAGGTCACTGCCATGCCCTTCTCATTATTTACAACACACCTATTCTCAGACTTGCAAATATCAATAAAATTCGAAGGGAGTTTATAAGATAAATTCTTTCCTCATCACTTTTAATTTTCTTCTCTTCTTTTGTACAGGAATTGAAGCAGCGGAGTTTGGAATATAAAAACACTTACTCTAGCTCAGCTGGTCAGAAACTATACAATGGAGTGAAGAACAGATACAAAGATATTCTTCCATGTGAGTTTCATATGCTTGATATGATAAATGTAATTGTATATTGTGTTGATGCAGATGTAACAAAATTGTTATGCATACTTTTTTGTCATTGAAGGTAGTTTGTTTTGTCATTGAAGGTAGTTTGTAACAGATTATTGGTAATTATATGTTAAAGAAGTAGAATAATGTATATATATGCTTTTTATGGAAAATTCTAGAGTGATTTATCAGTTTTTCTACTAATTTCTTCTTTGAAAATTTTCTGCAAAACATTTTCTAAATAACCCTTCGCAACATTTAAATGATAAAAATCTGCTTCTGAGAGATGTTTAATGATATCTAGCATTTTATATTTTTAAAAAAGGGTCTGCTCTTATTGTATTGAATCATTCGGTTTCTTTAACAATGTTTTTTTTTTCTCAATGATATTTTTCTAATATGTTATAAACCTATCTACAAGTATGCCTGCAAAATTATTTTATGGCCTTGTCAAATACTTTTGAACCACTTATCTACTTAGAAATCAACTTCCGCAGAAAATGAAAATGAAAATGTGCAGCTTAAGCCATTGGAAAGATAGTCTTCCTAAAACTGTTTTGGGGCTAAAACTCTGCAGATGTTAAATTAAACAAACATACATGTAAATAGGAAGTATCTGGAAACAGGCACCATTTTGTTTTGCATTTGATTTGTTCCCTTCTGAAATTCCGTGATTGAATTCTAGTAATGTTTCACTTTTGAAAAAAATTTTTTCTCAAGTCCTTATAAATAGATTTATTACTGTGGGCCATTATTATTTTCAGTTATTACACTTTTTTCTCTGTCTAATTTTTGATTGACTTCATTGGTCTTCATTAGGACATGTCAGACATTTGTTGATTCTAAAGACAAAGTTTTAATGCCTGCACTAAACTGATCACTAGATGTCCCAATAAAAATAGATTTAGTGGAAAATTAGACAGAGTCTTAGAATAATGTTCTAATAACTTTCTTTGATGTGATAAAATATGAATTAAACAATAAAAACTATTTTCAGTTGAGTACACAAGAGTTCCCCTGCAACCTTTACCTGGACTAACCGGCTCTGATTACATCAATGCTAACTATGTCAAGGTATGCATTTTACAGTTAATACAAAATTTTCAATCACCAGCTTACTTGTTCCAGTATTTTACTTTTTTAAGAATTATCATATTGATTGCTCACAAAAAAATGACCTTTTGACATTCAGTCAACTAACATTTCGGAAATATTGGAATCATCAGGTTTAAGTAATCATCAATTTTTTATTAATGCAACACTGGAAAGGAGATAATTATTAACTCATTTGGTTCAAATTTAAGGAGTATGCATTGTAGATATTGTATTCTGCAAACAGTGAACTCCTACATCAGCTGCAAGGAAGTTTAACATACTTTGGAAGGACAGTGCTGTAAGCTATCAAGGCAATTAAATTAAATATGACAGTTTTAACTTCCTGGATAGAAGCCTGATACGGTATAGGGGGATTGTTCAACCCTTGTGTAGGTTTGGCTTATATAAACGGTATACAGGATACTGATAAGTTAAAAAAAAAAGGGGTTTGGTTCTAAACTGGGTCACATGGCTGAAAATGAATAGTTTCATACTTACATCAGCTGATACATGTGATGTTTATTTAGGCACAATTGCGCTGCATGTGATATAGGCACAATTGCGCTGCATGTGATATAGGCACAATTGCGCTGCATGTGATATAGGCACAATTGCACTGCATGGGATTTCTTATTTTGTTGAAGCTTTCAACACATTGGTGACCTTGTCAGTGATGAATTACAATGAAAGATGGATACACAAACACACAAAATAGGGCACTGATTCAGGTGTCGTTGCCTCGTGGTAGAAAACCAAATGTCTACATCAAAATGAAATTACTAAGTTGTTATCTTCCTTAGTCTATTTTCGACTGTCTCATGGTGTACTTTCATTTATGTATAATCATAACTCATCTGATTATAATAAGAAAGTGTTGTGGTTATTTTTTACACCAAAATGTATCAGATCATCTTTTTTTTTCAGGTGTACAATAAAATTCATGGTCTCAGTTTTTATTTTATTTATTTTTTTTTACAAAAGTTTTGTTGCCCCATGTTAAGTTAATTTACTGGTGTTGTGATTTAGGTATTTAGAGTTCTCATGACAAATACTGAATGAAACCATAATGGAACAAGATGCTGGAGTGAATAAATACACTAAAATGAATCATAAATCTGATAAATTATTATTAAATCATTTTATCATTTAATCAAGTGTGAAGTGCAGTGAGATTTGTATGTTATTTAGGTCAGGTACATGTGAAGTTTTTTTGTTTTATTCTGCACGGATCTGTGTTGATAGAAACTTATAGTATCTTTAACTGTGGGTTACATAGTGATCATGTTATTGTATTGTTTTTTTTGTATTGTATTGTATTGTATTGTATTGTATTGTATTGTATTGTATTGTATTCAGGGTGTATCTGGTCACAACACTTACATAGCAGCTCAGGCTCCACTGCCGACATCTGTGATAGACTTCTGGAGAATGATCTGGGAGAATGAAGTGAAGGTGGTCCTCATGGCTTGCAATTTAAGGGAAGCTGGCAAGGTAAGAATTCTTCAGATCTTCTTGATGGATTTTGTAAAGTTTATTTTTAGTCAGGCATGTAGCTGGAGGGGGAGGGGGGAGGGAAAATGCTCCCTCTGGGTAAAATTTTCTCTAAGGACATAACGGTTCCATGATAAAAGGTCCACTTTTTCAGAAAAAGAACCCCCCTTTTGAAATTGCTGGTTACGGGCCTGATTAGTGCACAAAGGTTATTTGTTATTTCCCATTTGACAAAGCTGTGTAATAGTGATGCTGTATAGTAAAAATGTTTTGGTGTAATAAACAGTTAAAACTGATCATGAGTAGGTGTCCTCTGTATAGTTATTCATATTCTGTATAACAGTCAGTGATGCCTGTAGCCTTTCGATTCTGTTATTTATAAATTAAAACAAATTTGACCAAACAACATCACGTCTTACATATATCTTACTTCAGTTTTCCAACTTAATCATAAAACTATTTAAATAGATAACCTGTATATTATGTGCATGATGGTTACTATTTATATATTAATATAATGACGTCTATATTTTTATGATTCACTTTAAGCTGGAAATCTACAATATAGGCCATAGATCACCTAAATTGCCACAGATGTCTTAATCTGGTATATTGATTATTCATACAAGCTATATGAGTTATTATTCTAACATCTGGAATGTATTTCGATTAGTCTAGTAATAATGTTATATTTATTTTATTTTTAGACCAAATGTGAGAAGTATTGGCCTGAGTTGGATCGGGAGGTCCAGTTTGGAGACCTTTTAATCACACTGGTAAAAAATTAATGGTTTAAATTAAAAAAAGAATGATTTTGAGGATGCATTTTTATTGGATACGTATAAGATCATGGTAAACTATGTGCCATAATTTAAAGTCAGTTAAGTATGCAAACATAATAAAATAAAATAAATTCATGTGGGGGAAGGGGGGCAGTTTTAGATACTTAAAGAAATGGACATTGAGTGTAGCTGTGAGATTTCCAATTAATGCCCATGTTTCCAGATTGTTTTTTAATTTTATTTATTTACAGTAAGAGGTTCAGTGATGACAAAACATTCTTCATTTTGATACCAAAATATATACTCTTATTCTTTTAAAATTGCCTTGTATTTATACGATTTGAATTCCATAAAGTTGCTTTTAAAAATCTCCATTAAAGTTCATTATATTCTGTTAAATGTTTCTATTAAAGACAAAGGAAGATCACCAATCGCCAGACTATACTCTTCGGGAACTAGAGGTCAGAAAAGCCAACATTTGCAAGGTGGTATATCAGCTTCACTACACAGCGTGGCCAGACCACGGAGTACCAGACCATTATGACTACATCCTAGACCTTGTTGCCGAGGCACGGGAAAAACAACAGCAAGAAACTCTACCAATTGTGGTCCATTGCAGGTATAAGCATTGGTTGACTCACACCTGGGGGTTGACTTGCACCAAAAGTGACACCCTGTGTAATTGTCATACATAACCCAAGAAGGCCCTGTAAAACTAAATAAAATGTACATGGCCACAATCACATAACATCTGTAGGTATAAATTGTAAAAACATTCCAAAAATATTGGTAGTTGGTAGAATTTTGTTTTTGTTATTTGTGTGTTTTTAAAAATGAAATTTCAGATACTGTAACAGTAATTTTTTTTTATCATTTGCACAAGATGCATTCTTAAAACTGTATCACACATTGCATCATAGACCTTAAATCATAGGCCTTAAATTACAAATATATTTATATTTTGCTTTTCAGTGCTGGGTGTGGTAGAACAGGGACCATAATTGCCATAGACTACTGCTGGAGCTTACTGAAAAAAGGAGTAAGTAATGAATGGTGTCAGTGTAGGGGGCCACTCAGAATGATTTCAGGCATCATAGCAGTAACTCTGTGGGGACTCCTGCTGAATGCAGTCAGATTAACAGACTGCCATGCCCCCTCCTGGCATTGATAGAATATAAAGAAGCTGGTGATTCTAAAAGTGCACTGGAAACAAGAGGAGGTGTGTTAGTCCTTTAGTCTGATTGCATTCAGCAAGAATAATCATTGAGTTGGTGCCCATACAGCAAGCTGTTTTGTTATAACTCATTGTGAAGAGTCTTTATGACATACAGAAGTGACCTGTAAGCTAAAGCAGCACCATATCTTAGACTGGGTTCTCATAAACCTATTGTATTAGCAGGATAGATCTAACTCTGAGGGGATTCTCTCTGAATTGCATTCAGTTTAAGATGCTTAATTGTCTGTCACGCCCACTGAAGCTGAAGGGGGGTAATTATCTTTCGTACATGCTTAAACTGAATGCAATTTAGTGAGAGACCCCTCTCTCTAAGATTGGGTTCCCATAAACCTATTGTGCTAGCAGGATAGATCTAACTCTGGGGGGATTCTCTCTGAATTGCATTCGGTTTAAGTGGCTTAAATGTCTGTCAAGCCATCTGAAGCTGGTAGGGGGCAATTTAGCAAGAAAGCCCTTGGAGATAGATCGATCCTGCTAGTACAATAGGATATGGGAATGGTCCTTTAGTGCCTTTTTACAATGGTTAAGCAGCTTTGCAACCATTTGAAGAAATGCGATTTACATATCAATTTCAGTTCATTATACGGGTGAAATTATACATTAAATCTAAAAGTGAATCTGCTACATATAGCTATAGAGTAACCATTAAATTGCAGTTTCAAACATTGAAACAAAGTTCATGTGAATTAATTATAAATTAACATTGTTTGTTACTAATATGCCGAGAAAGAAGGAAAAGTTGGATTTGTTTGCACATTTGGTGTCAATGATTTTTTTGTTTTGTCTCTTGTTCTAGAAACTTACAAAGGACTTCAACTTGTTTAATGTTATTGATGAAATGAGAAGGCAGAGGCCATCAGCTGTGCAAACTCCTGTAAGCATTTTTTTTGCCTGTTTATTACTTTCATTGTAACTAAACTATTGTACATAAAATCGTACTTTTATAAATTTTTGAGAAATTTAAAGAAAATTGATAAACAAAAAATTCCCTTTTCTATTTCAAGCATGTATGTTGAATAGCAGAAATGTACAAAAATGATGAATAATCTTTTATAATTCATGATGATGTATTATTTTCATTGTAGATTTTTCTATTCTAGGAAATAAACTTGTTTGTGTTCATGGCAGTCAGGCACTTTAGACTGTTTAAATGGCAATACTTCTATAAATTTTATCAGTTACACTTCTGTCCATTTGACAAGTTTGCTGTCTTTTTTTTTTATTGTTGGTTTATTTATCTTCTAGGATCAATACTGGTTTGTGTTCATGGCAGTCAGGGAACTATTTGAACGCCATTTACGTATAATTGAAAGGCATTCGTATGAAAATGTCCAGGTGGGAGAGGGAAGCACATATGAAAAGGAGGTAAACTTTTTTTGACTTTGAATGAATTGGCATAATTCTTGTCTGTCAGTAACAGAAATTGAACACAAGGGCACACATGATTGATGAGTTTCTTCTGTCAGATATAGATGGAACTGTAGTCTGCAAAAAAAAAGTCTCCAACCTACACTTTCAGAGCATGGATGCTTGTAAAAAGCCATTTGAAAATCATGACTGTAGATTTAAACAGTCTGCATTGTGATCTTGAGTTGAGGGGTGGGGTGATGGGGGAAGAATGTTCAAAGATGACCATTGTTAAACCTTTGAGAGTTTATGTATACTACCATTTCAAAGGTTTTATTACCTTATCTTATAATAATCCATTTTATAATTTTCTTGTTTAACTTGTAAGTTGTATTTTGTTGATTCAGGACTCGTATGATCCTTATGAGAATGTTGATGTTTTTGAAAGCACAGGTAAGTATTTTTAAAACTATACTAATATCCAGTTACTTGTTAAGTAGCGATATCAGTTGCTTTAAGATAATAGATTGAACTAGAATAATAACCTTTCTGATGATTTGATTTATAGCATGTATGTAATTTCTCCAAAGAAACTGGGAATGTTTCTGAAACCAGTTGACTCATTTTGCAAATTATTAACAGAAGTGTCAGTAATATAACCTCTTTGTAACCAGTGAGATAAGTGGTGTTTTATGTTAAATTTCTGCAGCTTCCATTAACCAAGAAGATGACTATGCTATTCCTGAACCTGCTCATGGTGTTGTGCAGGCTGCAGCTTCCCCATTTAAGGGCCCCTCAAAACCTCCCCAGGCTGCCCCTGCCAGGATCCACCCTGCTGAAATTGCCATCGAAAAAACCGTTGCCAAACTGGCTTCAAAGCAAGCCGATTTTTTAGTGCCAGATTCTTCCGGGCATGTACCTCGTCATCCACCAGAAAAAGGACTTGGACCCTCCAGAGAAGAGCGACGCGAGGAATACGTAAATGTTGACATTCCTAAAAGCACCATGGCAGAGACTGGGAAACCCCTATTGAAAACTGTAGTAAAGAGGGATCCTCTTCCTGTCCAGGGGCAGACTGAGGTTCAGAAGCGTGATGAATATGTGAATGTTGACTTGCCTAAAAGAACCAGTATTAAGGAGATGGACCCGATGCCAGCTGCAAAAGCCACAGTGGCGAGAAAACCCTCAAATGAAAGCAGAAATTTGCAAGTTGCTGATGGAGTTGATCAGAGTTCTAGTTATACAATCCAAGGAGGTACACATGTCAATGCAAAGGTTAAGTCATTCGAAAAAACGCAAAGCAGTGTTGATGCTTCTTCCACCAGAAAGTCTTCCGCTGACACAATGCAAAAAGGACATCAGGCAGTCCAAGATAGCAGTTTGTTAAAGGGCCAAAATGTAACTGTAATAGCTGTGAAAGGCGAGAATCAAGAGGGCAGAATTTTTGACAGGAAAGACCCTGTGTCACCTGTTATGCCTTATGCAATAGGCAATGTGCACTTGAAAGAGAACGCACATTATGAGGCAGTATGGCCAGTTCAAAAAGAGCAAAATCTGCCTACCCAAGAAGCTGCACATATTCAAATCTCCAGTAAAGAAGATGATGCCAGATCCCAGTCTGTATCCGAACTGAGGCAAAAACTCGGATCAGATTTAGTATTAGGCAGTGAGCAAGGCAAGAAGTCCTCAACCTCTGAGGACCATCACAAACTGAACCCTTTGCAGAAGCTAAAGAACAAAATCAGTGGTGAAGGCAATCTTAAATCTGCTGACCATAAGAAAAAAAAGTCATTTGATGAAGACAAAGACCACAGCGGTAAAGATCAGCACAGTAAACCCCATCATGAAGAAAAGGGCGGCCCCTTAGAGCATCTTAAATCTGCCTTTCAGCTGGGCTGTGGCTCGTGTGTTAGTGTTGATCCAGCCTACGCTGCAGTCATGCAATCCCAGAATGCCCCGTTGGAAAAACCACCACCGCATGGGGTCACACCTGCGTCTGATGGCTTTATGAAGGAACTGAAAGCTGCACAAGGGGGTCTGCGGACTGCTGAACCGGAGAACAGGGCTTCTACAAATGTTAACCAGCAACAGCATGGTGTTATAAACAAGACGCACCCCATCCCACTGCCCTCTGGTGTTAGGAAAAGTCAACCTATGGCACAGCCTCAAGCTGTCCCATATGCCGTGTCAAATGTCCAGTTGAGAAACTCCACTCACGAGACAGTCACTGGTTCACATGCTTCAAGTTCTGATGATATACAGCCATATGCTTCCAGTAGCGAATTTGGGCTGAAAGGCAAAACAGTACAAAGGGGCCACAATAGTGATTTTGAAGATGAAGCAGCTGCGCCATATTCTGTGACCAGTGAAATGGGACTCTTTGGCAGAAAAAAGCAAGAAAATTCTTTTCCAAGTAAGTCTTCAGCTACGCCCCCTGTTGCACATGAGTATGCTGACCCATTCCTGGATTCTCAGTCCACAGTTTCCGAGTCATCGGGAGAATATGCCGAGCCATACTCCACAACGAGGGAGCTCTTTGGTAAAAGGAGTTCACAAAATGATGCGCGTCCACCAGCATTAATTCCCAAGATTGAAGAAACAAAAGAACCGAACTCTCTTGAGTATTCATATTCCTTCGAGCATTGTAAACAAATGCCTCTTTCATCACCAAAGGGGTTCTTTGATAATTCTTCAGTTGGTGGCCCAAATCCTAAAGCACCTCCGCGGAAAAAGAGGTCATCACAAGATGGCAGTCCACAAGGAGAAGGGCAGACTTATGAACCTGTACTTTTAAAAAGTTCAGAACGTGGTAAGTAGGGCTTCATGTCCCCTGCTGTCAATTAGTGCGAAGGTTTTTTAACAGGCCCTTTTCACATCAAGTACGTCAAACTGTTCACCGTGTTGCTGCACTTTTAGAAATGGACAACTTGATAGCCTGCATGCTAGGGTAAAAACTTTTTTTATTAAATATTTCATTAATTTGAAAAATAATTAACATTTTAAAATGCATTTATCTGACATCAGGACATATTAGGTGACAAACTTTTCAAAATTTTTGAGAGGCTCATTTTCAAGTTTGACAAAATTTTCAATGTGAAAAAAATTAAGTCAGTGGAGAATCGTATTCCAACAAAATTTTGAAGACTGACTAAATTTTTTTATTGTATTATTAGTGTTATTAGTAAGAATGTCATGTTAACAGAGTCCCTGCACTGGACATGTCCTGTTAAACAGTTAATTTCTAATGGTACATTGGGGATTGTGAGAGTTAGAACCCCCCCTCCCCCAACTTTCCCTCAATAGCATAATCAATCCAGTCAAACTGTTGTGGTTCAGAAAACTTTACATACCACTTGATGTGTCGAGGGCCTTAAGTTGTTTGCAAAAATGTTTAGTCATTGTTCCAATTTTATAAGTTCATGCAGTCTTAAATTCAAGCTGAAGGTTTGTGTTCATTTTAGTCAAAACTGGCCTATTCTAACACTTAAATGGCACATGAAAAAACTACAGTGATGTCGGTTGTTGCTATAATTACTGTATATATTNTCACTTTCTGCAGCTTCCATTAACCAAGAAGATGACTATGCTATTCCTGAACCTGCTCATGGTGTTGTGCAGGCTGCAGCTTCTCCATTCAAGGGCCCTTCAAAACCTCCCCAGGCTGCCCCTGCCAGGATCCACCCTGCTGAAATTGCCATCGAGAAAACCGTTGCCAAACTGGCTTCAAAGCAAGCCGATTTTTTAGTGCCAGATTCTTCCGGGCATGTACCTCGTCATCCACCAGAAAAAGGACTTGTTGGACCCCCCAGAGAAGAGCGACGCGAGGAATATGTAAATGTTGACATTCCTAAAAGCACCATGGCAGAGACTGGGAAACCCCTATTGAAAACTGTAGTAAAGGGGGATCCTCTTCCTGTCCAGGGGCAGACTGAGGTTCAGAAGCGTGATGAATATGTGAATGTTGACTTGCCTAAAAGGATCAGTATTAAGGAGATGGACCCGATGCCAGCTGCAAAAGCCACAGTGGCAAGAAAACCCTCAAATGAAAGCAGAAATTTGCAAGTCGCTGATGGAGTTGATCAGAGTTCTAGTTATACAATGCACGGAGGTACACATGTCAATGCAAAGGTTAAGTCATTCGAAAAAACGCAAAGCAGTGTTGATGCTTCTTCCACCAGAAAGTCTTCCGCTGACACAATGCAAAAAGGACATCAGGCAGTCCAAGATAGCAGTTCGTTAAAGGGCCAAAATGTAACTGTAATAGCTGTGAAAGGGGAGAATCAAGAGGGCAGAATTTTTGACAGGAAAGACCCTGTGTCACCTGTTATGCCTTACGCAATAGGCAATGTGCACTTGAAAGAGAATGCACATTATGAAGGAATATGGCCGGTTCAAAAAGAGCAAAATCTGCCTTCCCAAGAAGCTGCGCATATTCAAATCTCCAGTAAAGAAGATGATGCCAGATCCCAGTCTGTATCCGAATTGAGGCAAAAACTCGGATCAGATTTAGTATTAGGCAGTGAGCAAGGCAAGAAGTCCTCAGCCTCTGAGGACCATCACAAACTGAACCCTTTGCAGAAGCTAAAGAACAAAATCAGTGGTGAAGGCAATCTTAAATCTTCTGACCATAAGAAAAAAAAGTCATTTGATGAAGACAAAGACCAGGGCAGCAAGGATCAGCACAGTAAACCCCATCATGAAGAAAAGGGCGGCCCCTTAGAGCATCTTAAATCTGCCTTTCAGCTGGGCTGTGGCTCGTGTGTAAGTGTTGATCCAGCCTATGCTGCAGTCATGCAATCCCAGAATGCCCCATTGGAAAAACCACCACCGCATGGGGTCACACCTGCGTCTGATGGATTTATGAAGGAACTGAAAGCTGCACAAGGGGGTCTGCGGACTGCTGAACCAGAGAACAGGGCTTCTACAAATGTTAACCAGCAACAGCATGGTGTTATTAACAAGGCGCAGCCCATCCCACTGCCCTCTGGTGTTAGGAAAAGTCAACCAATGGCACAGCCTCAAGCTGTCCCATATGCTGTGTCAAATGTCCAGTTGAGAAACTCCACTCACGAGACAGTCACTGGGTCACATGCTTCAAGTTCTGATGATATACAGCCATATGCTTCCAGTAGCGAATTTGGGCTGAAAGGCAAAACAGTACAAAGGGGCCACAATAGTGATTTTGAAGATGAAGCAGCTGCGCCATATTCTGTGACCAGCGAAATGGGACTCTTTGGCAGAAAAAAGCAAGAAAATTCTTTTCCAAGTAAGTCTTCAGCTACGCCCCCTGTTGCACATGAGTATGCTGACCCATTCCTGGATTCTCAGTCCACAGTTTCCGAGTCATCGGGAGAATATGCTGAGCCATACTCCACAACGAGGGAGCTCTTTGGTAAAAGGAGTTCACAAAATGATGCGCGTCCACCAGCATTAATTCCCAAGATCGAAGAAACAAAAGAACCGAACTCTCTTGAGTATTCATATTCCTTCGAGCATTGTAAACAAATGCCTCTTTCATCACCAAAGGGGTTCTTTGATAATTCTTCAGTTGGTGGCCCAAATCCTAAAGCACCTCCGCGAAAAAAGAGGTCATCACAAGATGGCAGTCCACAAAGAGAAGGGCAGACTTATGAACCTGTACTTTTAAAAAGTTCAGAACGTGGTAAGTAGGGCTTCATGTCCCCTGCTGTCAATTAGTGTGAAGGTTTTTTAACAGGCCCTTTTCACATCAAGTACGTCAAACTGTTCACCGTGTTGCTGCACTTTTAGAAATGGACAACTTGATAGCCTGCATGCTAGGGTAAAAACGTTTTTTATTAAATATTTCATTAATTTGAAAATTAATTAACATTTTAAAATGCATTTATCTGACATCAGGACATATTAGGTGACAAACTTTTCAAAATTTTTGAGAGGCTCATTTTCAAGTTTGACAAAATTTTCAATGTGAAAAAAATTAAGTCAGTGGAGAATCGTCTTCCAACAAAATTTTTAAGGCTGACTAAATTTTTTTATCGTATTATTAGTCTTATTAGTAAGAAAGTCATGTTAACAGAGTCCCTGCACTGGACATTTCCTGTTAAACAGTTAATTTCTAATGGTACATTGGGGATTGTGAGAGTTAGAACCCCCCCCCCCTCCCCCAACTTTCCCTCAATAGCATAATCAATCCGGTCAAACTGTTGTGGTTCAGAAAACTTTACATACCACTTGATGTGTCGAGGGCCTTAAATTGTTTGCAAAAATGTTCAGTCATTGTTCCAATTTTATAAGTTCATGCAGTCTTGAATTCAAGCTGAAGGTTTGTGTTCATTTTAGTCAAAACTGGCCTATTCTAACACTTAAATGGCACATGAAAAAACTACAGTGATGTCGGTTGTTGCTATAATTACTGTATATATACATTTTAAATTGATAATTTTAAAACATTTTCAGTGCAGTATGTTCATCATAATTACCACTTTCTATATCTTGCCATAATCATATTTACAAAAAAATCAGTATGATCCAATTTTTTCTCATTTTTCTGATTCATCATCTATAAAAAAGATAAATCACATTTGATATGGTTCTGGTGGTGAGTGGGGTTTAATTTAATAGCCTATTTACAGTTGTTTTTGCCACTGGCTATAGATGGCACTATAAAACTGAGAGGAAATATTAGACTAATATTATGTTCTGGTTTACAGGGTGCTTACAAAAATCCTTCACATTATGATTATACACAGTTTGAATGGAATTCAACCATGGAATAACATTTTGGGCCTTAATTACTTAAAGCTACTTGCTTAAGTAACTAATTATTAGGCTAAGCTTAATTTTTTTTTTCATTCAAACCTGAAAATCAGATTTTGAAGTAAGTAGGAAGTGTTGGTTTGCTTTTTTAGGTGGTACAAACTTTTGCAGTCACCCTGTACACTGTAACAGTAATAAAAAAGACTGCCTGTGTCAGTGAAAATACCGTGGGAAAACTGTGCATCCAGTAACTGTATGCTGACTGATTTAATGAGGTTTTTCTGATTATGACTTTTAATTTAGGCTTTCTGATTTGAAGCTATACTGGGACAGTGAGAGATCATTTGTAAGCTAAAGCACAGTTACTGCTGTCTCTTATGTCGATATAGTGCAGTGAAGTCATCATCACCAGCAGCAGGAATTGGCAATTGTTACTTGCAAGAGAATTTCATTGTGAAGCATTTTCATTAGTTTGAATCCTGTGAAACTTTTGTGGCATATGGGATATTTGGTTTTGAAGAAGAAGCTGCAGTTTTTCCAGCATATAACAAAATTACATAAGAATTTCAAAAGATAGAAACCATAGCATTTCTATTGAAAGGATTTATAATTACTATAATTACGGTACCAGGAAGTTCAATATGAAGAGGAATCATTTTGAGCAACCAGAATACAGAAACTGGCAGTTCTTTGTCCTTCACAAACCAACAAGTTGGTTCATTTTAAAATATGGTTTTGAATATCTTTGAAAACAATCCCCCAATCTTAGGAGATGAGATCATTTCAGGATTGAGTTTATACAAAATGGTTGGGTATAAATTGTAGTAATTTTTTTTTTTTTTTTTTGGCAGCAAATCTCATTTATTGTGGATAGCAGGTTATAAATCCATCTTTTCTGTAATTTTTCAAAACTTATTAAAATAATATTTTATATGGCAGTGTGGAGTCAGGGGCAGTATATATTCTATACATTCTATAGCTAGCTAGTTTTGACATATTTGAGTTGGAAAAATGTGACAGTTTGTAAGACAAAATAAAAAGCTTATATGGATATATTATATGATAAGAATAATAGTATAATTATTGATGTGACTTGTATTTATAGTACAATGAGACTTAATATGAAACTTTTGTGGTTGTTCTTTCAGATGTTAACCCCCCTGGCAGTAGGGAAAACAGACCTACGGAGGTGAAACAGCCATTCCAGGTGATTTGAAAAGAAATGTCATATACATTGTTAGATATTTGATAAATTAATTATACAGTGCCTAAAATGCTCACTACTACGGNCTGAAAGTAATGCTTACACTTAGCAATGTAGGTAAGTGGAGATAATTTCCGGCACAGCCGTATTCCATTCGTATTTCAAAGGATACGAACGCGTGGCAATTTTTAGCAGACTGAATTTCAAGCCTTACGAACAAAATGATTATCTTCCAAAAATAATTAATTTTAATCGTTCGTATAGATTGGAGAATTACCGTATTATGTTTCAGTATTTTCTATGAACTATGTTTAAAATTTGTTTTTTTTTTTCTTTTTTTGTTAGAAATCATTTTTATGGTAATAATGTCCTTACAAATGACTGAAAAATAGCATTGCTCTTTTTTTTTGGCAGTGTATTAATATATTGGTTTTGAACATGAGGGTTACACATTTCATTTTGCATGTGTAGATTTAAAACTAGCATTTCGATACATTACAGCGCCCCAGGGCGGTCAGTGAAGATGATGATAAACCCCCTCCTATTCCGACAAAGTCTGAAGGAGCATTTTTGGACGTCTCTCAAGGTAATGTGTGAGTGTTTGATCAGCTACATGTGTGCTGTGTCATAAAAATATTAACTTTAAAAAAAATAATTTTGCAACTGCGCTGATGGAAACATTAATGGAGGATGATAGAGGCTTTTGTAAATGCACAGGTTCAGCATTTTTTGCTTAAAGAGGAGAGGGAAAAGTATTTTTGAGGGTTATTTGTTATCAAGATTGTGAATATTTTTCTGTATTTTTGTGTTGCACTTGGTAGGGGATTTGGTTCAATTTTATTGACAACCTAGGCCTGTTAGAACTAAAATCCATAGATTTGCAAAAATGACAATTTTTGTAATATTCTGAATGTCATTAAATTTTTATGTCTGCACTATATGGGCAGTATTAGTGACAGGAGAAGTTGAGATAAAAATTTCAGCAAGATTATTATTCTTACTGTTACAGTGTATTTCATTCACACACACAGAAAAAAAATACAATATTTCTAACGTTTATTTAATATTTATCCACCATTTCAGTAAAAAGTTATAAAAGGCGTAGTTGGGATGATAAAATTTGGGCAGAGAAATATTCGTGCCCACCTCCGGTGCCAATAAAAACACCTGAGGCGTACATGTTACCACGTACCAGAGGTATTAATTCATGGACTCGGGTTCATTGTTTAGTGCATGCCACTGGTGGTGTTTGCATGATTTTTTTTTTTTTTTTTTTTTTTTTTGTATATCCAGATTTTATATTTTATGGTTTCTCAATGCCTCTTTTGCCAAATGCTTTTGATTATTTTTGTGTTTTTATTTTTATTCATGCAGGTGAAAGAGTCAAGGACATACATTGTATGTAAAAAATGATATTTTATGGTTTCTCAATGCCTCTTTTGCAAAATGATAATTTCATGTTTTAAATTTTATTTGCCCAGGTAAAAAAGTTAGAACATATATAAAAGTATATGCAATTGTGGACTATCTATGGACTTATAGACCTTTTTAGTCATGCAGTCTTGAATTCAAATTAGAAATTCATTAGAAAACAATAGCATTAAAATGTTTATATATTTTTGCAATTTCATTTTTTGTCAAGTTTTTTTTTTAATATAAGGTTCATTTCTTGGGGTTTATTGCTCTCTTATTTGAATCCATTAAAAGAAGAACAGAATTACTATTTTAGTTATTTTAACCCTTATAAATTCTGGTGGACCAAATTGGTTGGCATAAAAGCAGCCAATGTGAAAAGATTTTTTTAAATCTTTTAAAATCTTTGAAAAGAATAAATACATACTGTTGAATGGCTGTCAACATGGGAAAAAAACCATTAGTTAACTAATTATTGCTTTTTTTTTTGCTTCATCACTTATGATTATTATAAAAAGCACAATATTAGAATAGTTTATTATTAGCTGTTTTTTGGCATAAGTTATTGCCGTTATAAGATGACTTACTAATAGAACTTCATCCTCTTGGAATTCTACTAATTCTACTAATCCTTGAATATATGACCATGTACATGTTGTGCTCTGTGTAGATTATTATACATGTGTGTATGTGTATAAATGTGTGAGTATATTTTTAGTGAGCATGATATGGCTATTAGTTAGACTTTTAGTTGGTAAAGGACACATTTTTAACTCACATCTCCAGTGCTGCTCTGATTTGAACTAATTCTTTGTGTTGCAGAAATTTTGTGAGTTCTTGCATCTAGCATGTTGGGAACTAAACAGAGTGGAATGACATTATTTGTTACGTGTAGTTGTGTAAATTGATTTTTTGTTATTAAACAGTCATTTAGAGAAAATAATAATAATGAAAATGATAATGAAATGATGTAGATATAAATAGATTTAAAGGTATATTATTCATGAATGACAATTTCCCTGTACAAAGTAAAAGGAATTTATTTAGATCAAGAATAACTTTGTGATGTTTATGATATTGTTCACAATGGTATAATGGACTTAATCTTGTGGTAATTCGTACAAGGTTTATCAAAAATGTTTAAAAAAATAGCATGCAGCATCCTTTAGTCTTCCAAGTATGAGGATCTAGATTAAAAATTTTATTACAACTTGATAAATTGCAAGTTTTTAAGGCTTCAGCTATGTACATGAAGTAATGCAAGTAAATATCTGTCTCCTCCCTTAATATATTAAAAAAATATTTAATCTCAGTCCTGAATGGTGCACTTATGGGCACAGTTTTAAGACACTGACATTTTTTCAGACCCTGAAATGTTTTGCTTTCTTGTTCCAAAATACATCACTTTTTGTTGTATCATGTGCACACGTTGGGTGAATTTATTGCAGTCCGTATCATTTAAATGTTGTCCTGACGCATGGTTTTACAAATTTTTTTTTTTTTTGATATATGAAAAATTAATCTAGACTATAGTTTGTAAAATCTTGCAAGTGTATAACGTATCTGTCAGGTTTTGTCAAAGGTAATATGAATTTTTATATATAAAGATATATAAGATATTTTATATATAAAAATAATTAAATTCAGATTGATAAAAACCTAAGGCAATAGAAAAACTTATGAATTTGATACCAAAACTAATTGAAAACTTTCCTTCCCATCTCTGACATTTTGCGCTAAGTGTTACTTTACTCCAGGCCAACATTATGATGGGGTGATGCGATACCCACCAATGACAAGGTCAAGGTCATCAACAGACAACAAGTACCATTCCTTGGAGAGGAATTTCTTTTCTAAGAAAGGTACAACAAATGTTGCAATGATTATATAGGGTAAAGTGTTCTAATTAGGGCAGAATTGTTATGCTCACTATTAAGACGTGACATATCTCCAATATATGCCATGAACTATTTGTATTTGTACATGTATATTTGTAGCCTGTATATTACAAGTGCAGCACTGGTAGGTGTGTATAGGCTTTTCTATCCTTATTCTAAACTTTAAGTTTATCATGCAACCTATTTGAGCAGATATTAAGTTTACTGCTAGCTGTTTTATTCTTAGCCTATGTGAATGAGATGTTCAGAGCAATAATATGATAGACTAGATATAGAATCATTGACAGTGATTAGTGTCTGTTTAATTGAGTACATGTAGATTCTTCCGAATGCTATGCTAGCTGATGTTTCAGATGTACAGTGTTTCAGATGTACATGATAGTTAAGACTATCATTAATTTGAGAGGGGGAAAATGTTGAACATATTGCAGAAAGTTGTGAAAAACATTACCAGTAATGCATATGATCAGTGGTTTTGGCTGTCATTTTCTTTTTTTTTTTTTCTTTTTCAGGTGCAATGGCATAAAAGGTACTCATTTAGCTAGGAAATATGCAATTTTTATTTTGTTTAAGGATTTATTTTATTTAGCAGTTGTAACGTATTTGTCAAAATGTCACTCATTTCTTTCACTGACTTGCAGATGTATCTGAGAAGCCAGAAGAAAGTGGTCCAGAATCTGGGGGGAAACCTAAGACAACAAATGTGCTGGAGAAATTAATGAGCAAAGTGCCTATGAAAAGCAACAAGGTAGGTCTATGTATTTTTATGTACAGACACAGATGTGTCTGTACACATTGCCATCACCTGCGTCTGTCGTGGCCATCGCCGTTCATGTCGCCGTCGCCGTGCACTTTCAGCGTTAACACCATAAGTGGAAGACAGTTTTACTTTTTGGCTTTATATTTACAGAGCTGATGAATATTCATAAAACGCAGGTCAAGTTCGAAAATCAGCATGATCGGGCCATTATTGTAGAATTTATGCTGTTTTTTCACTTTTCAGCATATATGCAACACTGTTAACACATTTCAAGGAAAACCCATAGGCCTGTTGTCATGAAACTCACAGGAGTAATCAATCTTACTAAAATGCAGGTCAAGTTCGAAAATCAGCATAATCGGGCCATTATTTTATAAGTTATGCTGTTTTTTCACATTTCCTCAGATTCAATTCTTAGGCATGTTAACAGTCTCATTATTTAATAAATGAGATATGTAAAAGTGTTTGTTTCACATTTCCTGCATCTTTACAACATTGTTAGTTGATTATTTGAAAATGATGGTAAACTTGTTATCGTGTATTGTGTAATAAAGTGTCAAAAATGGAAATAAACTCATATCATTGCAGTTTGTAAGATTCAATCATTCACTATGTTCAGAAACTCAGAATGGAGGAAATTGGACATTTGACACTGTTCTATTGATATTTTTCACATCTCATCAACTTTCTTAGTTGATCATATAAAAATGGCAGTAAATTGTTAATTTTGTTTATGTTAAAAAAGTGTTAAAAATTGAAAAAAAACCATGTCAGAACAGTGCTGTCTTGTTTACATTTTGGCATTTTCAAGGTGTGACTTTGAAGTCCCATTGGCCTGAAGACCTTTGCTAGTCACGTTTTCTGAATGTCCACGTTACTAATATATTATTATTAAAAATTGATGGTCATTATGATGTTAAACATTATGTAATGTTGCATCAAAATTTGAAGAAACCCATATTTTGGGCACTGCTCCCATGATGACCATTTAAGGAAAACCATGTCAATTACTGTTCTCAAACTTACAGGAAAGAAACATGGGACTAAAATACAGCTTCAGTAGGCAATGCAGTCTGTTTGGTAAAATTTTCTGGCAATTAAACAGTTTTTTGTGAAAATTTAATTTTTCACATATTGGCATTTTCAAGGTGTGACTTAGAACCTCCACGGGCTTGAAGACCCATGCTAATCACATTTTCTGAAAATCCATGATAGGTTTTATTTTATTATTAAAAATTGATGGTCATTATGCTGTTAAGCATTATGTAATGTTGCATCAAAATAGAAGAAAATACAATTTTTGGTGCTGTTGCCATGATGACCATTATGGGAAAACCATGTTACTTATGACTGTCAAACTTTCAAAAAAGAAACACGGGACTAAAATGCGGCCTGAGCTGGAAAAGCAGTCTAATTGGCTTCTTTTTCTGGAAGTTTTTAGTGAAATATTCATTATTATCGTTTTGGCATATTCATTGTGGGACTCAGAGCTCCCATGGACATGAAGCTGAATGGTAATCAAGTTTTCTACATTTCCATGCTAGTTATAGTCAATTATCAAAAATTGGTGATAATTATTCTGTTATTTATTATGTAATGTTACATCAAAATTGGCAAAAATCTTTTTGCACTGCTACTACAAACATTATGAAAAGAAAACTGTGTTACTTATAATTATTTTTAACTTACAAGTATGATTTTTAGGATTGGCATGCAGTTCAAATTAGAAAAACAGCTCAATAGGGTTATCATTTATTATTGAATTTATGCAGTTTTGTGTGAAATTTTCATTTTTCTCATTCTGGCATTTTCAAAGTGTGAACTTGAACTCCCATTGGCCTGAAGCCTTATGCTTGTTACACATTTTACTTACGTCAGTATTACCTGTTGAGCATAATTAAAATTTGATGTTGAATTTGCAGTTGAGCATAATGTACTTTTGCATCAGAATTGACAGTAGCCTATTTTGTGCATTGTTATTGTCTGCTTTTTGTCTGTACATTTGACAGCTTTGCTGCCTTGTTT